CAAGTTGAGGATAACTAAACATTCTACCCAAACAGGCTACAAGTTGAGGATAACTAAACATTCTACCCAAACAGGCTACAAGTTGAGGATAACTAAACATTCTACCCAAACAGGCTACAAGTTGAGGATAACTAAACATTCTACCCAAACAGGCTACAAGTTGACGATAACTAAACATTCTATCAAAACAAACTACAGAAAACACTTATATCACTTCTTGTAATTTACTTTCAGGTAATAAAACTAAAGTATGGATTCACTAATAAATCAAATTAATTAAAAACACATCCCGCAGTAAGACTAGGAACATAACTTTAAAATAAACTCCAGATAGTGCACTACAAAATTTATAATAGCCATAGTCAGCCCAATTGTGGTACAAACAGCAATAGAGAAGTTTAAAAACATGTTACACAGCCCAACAAATTCGTCCAATAAATAATCTTATAATATAAACAACTGCCGTGCACATGTCACATAAGGCTGATGCTCTTGAACTCTGGTTCCAATGGCACAAGCGGGAGAGAATGGTAACACTCCTCCTGGATGGGACGCCAGTCCATCGTAGGTTAACCCTCAGCTAACTGCTACGTACACTGGAACACAAATGGTGTCTTGTTCAAGGACAATAACAGCATGATGCAGACCAGCCTCGAACTAGGAGTCCAAAAGATGAAGCTTCTAAGCCTTGCTGCCCTCCCAATACATAATAGTGAAACTCATATACTGCTAACTATACGCATGACCTCCTGGATATCCAAACACAATCGTCCAGCTTGTAACACTCAAACTCGCACACAATTAACTATGCACGCGACTCGTTGGACAGACCAACACATTGATCTGATGTGTAACATTCAAACACATACACACCAATAACCGTGTACATTACTTCCTGCACATCCCACCACTCTCATCCAGCTTGTAACGTTCAAACAAACAACTAACCGTATAGAGGTCTAGAAAGGTGGACAGTCTAAAACACTCATAAAAATATAACAAATATGCAAGTTCATGCAGTGCTAAAAACATACAGAACTGGACTGGCTAAACAAACTTATTCTCGGTATTGATATCTGTAAATTCATAAATATGAACCGTTTAACATCTCACCTGAGACGTAACATTATAGACGGGGATAGCAGACAGATATGTTCTACGTTTCCATTCTTTCCTTCCCATTGTGATGAATGATCTCAACTGTAACTATTCATACAAGTCTAAGTAAATATCTTAAAATATATCTAATCAAATTATAATTCATTGACGCTTGTGTAAATACTCAATATTAAAAATTCAAAAAATCTTCCTAATCTCAAAATAAAAATACCAAATAACTTACTACACAGGATAAAAGAAACGGTCTCATACATAAAATGATTCTACGTACTTAATGCATCATCTTGAGGAGTGTAATGTTGTGCAAGAATCAGGCTTATTTATACCCTTACAAAAATATCACTATATTACAATTTACATATTAAATGAACACTAACTAAAGTTAAATCATGTTTAGACATTCTGTAGAGCGAGAAGATGAGCTATTAATGTGTGTCAAAGGGTAACATGCCTAAATTTTCTTTTTCACCTCAGAGCCAGATGGCCAATGTATCTCAACATTCTCCAATGCTTCAGGGCAA